TTTTTTGTATTTTTAGGGAAGGATCTACAGGGTTTCAGGGTCTCACTCCTAGATCAGAATTGTAGTGATCCTCCTGTTTACAGCCACCCAAGAGCTGGGATTACAGGTGTGTGCCACCACACCCAGTCTCTATTGCTGTCTCAGCATGCTGGCCCCAGGGGACAGGACCATGGGCCAGCCCCTGCATCTGCTTGCTGTTGCTTTAATCCGCTGAGCTATTTGGCAGGCCCTCTTTTGTCTTTTTGAGACAAGGTTTTACAATGTAATTCAGGCTAGCTTTGAGCTCATTATGCAGCTGCGGCTGGCCTCAGACTCACAGATCCTCCTGCCTTAGCCAGCTGAGCACTGTGATTACAGGTGTGTGCCACCATGCCTGGCCCCTCAGTTTCTTTTCAAAACCTAACGTAAAGTACATTTTTACCTTTGACTGGTGATGGTGCAGACATCAAGTAGCAGTGAGGGGTCTGCACCCTATGTGGCACAGGAGGGATTAGGTGGCTGCCCTTCTCTCATTGTGTTCATTAGCGCTGCTTGTTAATCATATACAGCTTCGCTTAACAAGAAGTGAAGAAGCTGGGGTGGGGGGGGCTGGCCCTAGCTCAGGCCTTTAAGTGGCTGCTTCCACAAAGCTGTCAGCCTCAGGTTGCTGGAGTTCGAACCTCACACCTCTCCAGCTGGCCAAAAGTGCCCTGAAGGCATTCGAGGAACAAAAAAAAAAAAAAAAAGAAGTGAAGCATACTTTTAATAAATCTGGACTATCCTGGATAGATAGAATGGGGAAATAATGTAAGTGATCCTTTGTAGGGCGAAGTTCACAGATATCAGCCGAGGATTGAAGAGACCCAAAAAAGGAAAATAATTCCAGGTCCATGTACAGTCAGCACTTGGCACTCCATCCACAGTGACTGTCCCCCATAATGTGAATCTGGAGTGATCATTTCTGAAAAGTGAATGAGACCATGGGGTGCCTTTATAAAAACCTTAGGACTAACTTTCATGAGGAACAATGTACTTTCAGTATTTGGTATAAACAAACCAAAACTATTGTTTGGAGAAGTAATGATTTATATGACAGTCTAGTGATCTCCAGTAAGTTCTCTTTAGACTCTTGGGAAAAATTCCTTTGGTGTCCCCCGTTTGGATGTTGTTACTAAAGAAAGCATCACAGGGCATGGAGGAAATTATCCTGCATCTGTCTAAAATTAGAAGACCTTTTTGGTGTTTATTACATCATAAAAATATCAAAGTCTGCTTCTTGAGATAAAAGAAGGTCAAAGAAGCCTTATATTTCTGGAAAGTGCCGGAGTGCCTTATTCCAAAATCAGAATCACCATGAGCTTCTTGCTAAGCTCTGGAGGCTTTTTACGAAGCTCGGAGGGTCTTCCTTGCAGACATCTGGTCAGGCCTTTTGGAACTTGGTTCTGTTGTCAGGAGGCACAGATGTAGACCAGATGTGCACTGCTGTTGAACTCTTGATGTCAGCAGAATGTGTTTTATTAGTGCCAAAAGCTTGGCGCCTGGGGACCACCTTGAGGCCTGTTTATTGAACGCTAGATTTAACTGAAAAGGACCCTCCTCTTTCACTTGGAGATGTGACCTTCATAATGAGCCTTCTTGCTTTACTCATAGGTGGGAAACTACCTCCGTATGTTCCGAGGTTCTCTGTACAAGAGATACCCCTCACTCTGGAGGCGACTAGCCACTGTGGAAGAGAGGAAGAAAATAGTTGCATCGTCACATGGTAAAAAAACAAAACCTAACACTAAGGGTGCGTCTTCACGAGGGTTTGTAAACCTGTTTCAAAACCACTCGCTTATGTCATGAAGATAAAACGTTTTCACTCCAGTGTCTTCACTGCAGCCCTTAACTTAGGCAGGGAGCATCCCAGGGGTGGGGCCAGCCTTCCAGCACACACGTGAGGCTCAGGTAAGAGCATGGCTGCAGGAGCCACTGATGGTCCACTGTCAAGTATTTCCAGGGGGGCCAGTGGGTGTCCGAGTGGGCCCAAGCAGGGACAGTAGCAGGTGCTGTGAAGACATGTTGGTCTCAAAACGTTTTAGGAATGCCGTGATGCTCTACCATCTGCCGTGGGCGTGTCTCCATAGTCATCCTCCATGCAGCTCTAGTGATGGGTGGTGGCCCCGGCCCCCACTCCCCTCTTGGGCTTTCACTGCTTGCCTCTGAAAATGTGTCCATTCCATCGCACTTCATGCCAGCAGCCAGTGTGCTAAGCTCATGTGCATGTCTGCTCCATGGAGCCTGCTGTGTGCCTGGGACTTGCTAGTGAGTGCCTGACACTAGTGAAACTAGCATGCTTTGGGTCATGGCAGCTCCATGCAGGGCAGGGCTCTTCAGAGATTTTGGGGGCTTCTCCTAGGGGCTTCTGTTAGGAGACACTTCAAGGGAACATTTACATTTGGATGCAGTGTGCCATTTGGCAGGTGGCAAAACTGCTTGCCTCTTGGCAGTAGTGCCTTGGAGAGAGCTGCCCTGAACCTAAGTGTGTGTGTGTGTGTGTGTGTGTGTGTGTGTGTGTTGTGTGTGGTGCTTCACAGTCTGTCCTGTTTGGTGTGGCTATAGGTGCTGCTGTGGTTTTGGCCAATGTGGGCAGATCAGTGGTTCTTTTAACGCAGGAGCCAGAGCTACTTTTTTTTTCTGCTGCTGTAACATTTCCACTCACCTGACTAAAACAGTTAGTTTCCTGCGTGTCCGCTTCTGCCCCAAGTGAGCACCAGTCAGTAACACAGCAACTCCCTGGCTTTGCCTTCTCCTCTGCAAGTCCCCGGTGAAGTCTTGGTGATGCTTCCACCTTGTGCTTCGGAGATACCTTCCCCATAACTACTTAATTCCTCTGGGAGAAGCCAGACTAGGCCCACAGACAGGTAACAGCTTTTGACCAAGAGAAGAGCTAGGGGTCAAGTTGCCTTCAGTCTGTCCTGTTCTCCAGATAGTACCTCCAGACTGGCTTGGGGACAGAAATTCTTGTTTGGTGTGAAGCAGCTCTTTCCAACTCTCTGGGCTCTTGTTTTAAAAGTACTCACCTTTCATTCCATGTCCCCACCTTGCTTCATGTTGTGGATTGCGGTGGTGTCTGACCTCTTCCCACTGGGGTATTCCTCTGGAGCTTCTTGAGTCCTCGCAGGCTGTGCTGTAGCCTCTGGTGCTACAGCTGCTCCAAGCATTTCCTCTGTCCCTGAGCCATTGCTCCAGAACACATTAGTCCAAGTCAGTCCCAAAGGAGGCTTTACTCAGTGGGACTTCTAAATAAAGTCCTCCATCCAGATTGCCCCTTTGGAAGAGGCGTTCAGCAGTAGTAAGTTTGACACCTTGCTTTTCCCACTTCCTGCATGTGAGGACTTGATGTGCTATATCCAGTTGGCTGGCTGCTGTTTTCACCACCCCCTTCAGGTTAACCGCAATAGTGTCTCTCCACTTACAGATCATGGATATACCACCCTTGCCACCAGCGTGACTCTGTTAAAAGCCTCCGAGGTGGAAGAAATTCTTGACGGCAATGATGAGAAGTACAAGGCCGTGTCCATCAGCACGGAGCCCCCCACCTACCTCAGGTAATGTGCTCCTGGCTCAGGTATGCTCGGGGGACGCTGGTGGATAGCTCTCATACTTAACACATCTTAGGGTCAAGCTGAATTGAACTGTCTTTGAACACTTTACCCACTGTGCTTGCAATCTTCTTAGCTGTTTGTACATTTCTTCTGTCTTTGAAATTCCTAAGAAATGTAGAACCAAATCTTGAATTTTGGAGAGTGATTAAGAAAGCTTTAAAGTAGGACTCCTATGTCAGAAAAATTAGTGGACTAAATAAAGTCACAAAAGAAAAAAGCAGTGGATTTAAAGGTATAAAAATTTAGACGGGCTGGTGAGATGGCTCAGTGGTCTAAAGCACCTACTTAGAACAAGCTAAGCTAAGCAAAGCACAGCACAGGGACCACGGTTCAATCCCCCAGCACCACATGCCAGCCAGCCCCGCCCCCTGGTGGGCTGAGCTGGCCACACACACACACACACACACACACAATATAAATAAATGTTAAAAAAAAATTTTAAGTTATAAAAATTTAGAACCTTTAAGCATATTTATAGTGGGTGAAAATTAAAAAAGCAAGTAATTAGAAATTTCCTATGCTGTCTTTGCCTAGATACTCTGATTGATTGATTGATTGATTGATTGATTTTATTTTTTTGCTCCGAATGCCTTCAGGGCAGGTTTGGCTGGCTTGAGTTGTGGGGATTGAACCACAGCAACCTGAGCCTGACTGCTTTGTTGAAGCAGCCACTTAAACAACTGAGCTAAGGGGCAGGCCCCCGATACTCAGATTTATTAAAAAAAAAAAAAAAAAAAAATCTTGGATAGTTCAGTATAGTGGTAGCAAACCTGTGGCCTGTGTGGCACAGTGGGCTATTTGTATCATTGAAAACGTGAAAGGTTCACTATCATTGCTTTAGTAGATTTGGGTTTTTATTCGTTTGTTGTTTTCATGGTGCTGAGGATTGGATTCAGTGCCTCATGAGTACATGCTGAACTGCACTCCCAGCCCCCAGTAGGTAAATAGATAAAGGGATGATGCACATCTGGAAAATACAAGGGGAAAACAAACAACAGGAAGAATGATTATCCTTATATATAATCTTATTTTTTTAGGGCCCTGTGCATACTAAGTACAAAATGCTTTACCATTCATTCAAAAAAGCTAGCATGGTAGTGAACTGGGGAAATTGTGATAGAACTAGTAATAATTTAAAAATAAGCTGAGTGTGATGAGGCATGCCTATAATCCCAGCATTTGGAAGATTGAGTCAGGAGGATTGGAAGTTCGAGGATAACCTGAGCTACATAACAAAGCCCTGTTTCAGAACAAACAGAAGAACAAAGAATTTAAAAGAACAAGTAAGGGGCCTGGGAGATGGCTCAGTGGAATAAGTGCTTCCCTGTCAAGTGCAAGGGCCTGAGTTCAATCCCTGGTTCCACCAAAAAAAAAAAAAAAAAAAAAAGAACAAGTAAGTCAACTCATTACATGTACAGAAATGTACGTGTACTCTGGAGAGCTGTGAATAAAAATGGGAACTATGGAGCCAGTGAGCATACAGGTTTAGGGAAGGCCAGGTATTACAGGGTGCGCCTACTTGAGCAGAATGGGATGTGACCTTATGCATCATAATTAAGTGGACTCTGCAGGACCGTACCACGTGGCTCATCTGCGAGACACATGCACGATCCCAGGTTGTATTTACCTACTCTGTGTCTCCAGCTCTCAAGAAAGTGCATTTCTATAGAGAAAAACCAGGGAGCACTAAGGGAGAAAAAGGATTATTGTTCAGAGTGATGAGGTTGTGGAAAATGACTTCTTTCCAGATTTTCTGTCAACTTTGCTATTGGATTGTTTTTATGGCTCCCCCAAGAAATGTGGCATGCATCCAGTCTGGCCATTGTTGTAGACGTGTGCTCGGCAGATTCTTGTTCCCCCAAGGGATGTGGTAAGGACATAAGGATGGCTAGACCTTCCTGGGAAGTCACAAAAGGAAATTATGTACACATGGACAGTACTTTTAAGTTTGCACATGTCAGCTAAGAACCTTTTATAGGTTGGTAAATAATTTCTTGATGATCATGCCAGATGAGGACCAGCTGAAGGGATAGAATTCTGACACCCTGGAGGTAGGATGACATTTCTAGGGGGTAGCTGAGTTTTGAACAAAGCAGCTTTGGCTGTCTCCATGCTGCTCAGTCAGCCTAGCAAGGGCCTCTCAGCCTCCCTACCATATCACAGTTGGGGCAGAGGCTCAGTGCCCCTTCTTGGAGCTCTTGGAAGATCATCTAGTGTGCCCTAGGTTGGATTTCATGACTTAGATTCTCGTGCTCTGTATACCTCTGAGTATGTTACTTGTACTTGCTGTGTCTGTTCTATGTAACATAATTTGCATTCTTTCCTTGAGATGGCTAGCAGATGAAGGGCTGGCAGAACAGCACAGGCTTAGAAATGAGAGAGATTGCCACCAAGATAGAGTGGGATTTTTGAACAGTGAGGGGCAGAAACACGGCACAGATTGTAGAGGATATCCATCTCAGCTTCACTGGACTCCTCCATGGAAGTTATAAAGAACCCATATTCCCAGGCCCTCGTCCAGTGATGGCTAGTCACTTGATCTTGGTAGCCCTTAGAAAAAGAGTTAAAGGCCAAGGGCCCTATTCCACTTGTGGAAAGAAGAAAGGCCTACAGCTTGCGTCCCCCAGGTGCCTCTTCAGAGGGTGTTGTCCTGCAACTTGTCACTTACTGTGAACTGTGGGGGGCAGTAATTACAGGAACTGCTGTATGTGCAGATGGTAGAAATAAAAAGGTAAATGTTGCGTTTACGGTCTTGCTATGGAAGACAAACACGCGTGACACTGTGGAATCCTAAGTGCTGTCATCTGTCTCACCTGGCACTGCAGCCACAGGGCAAAGTATTTGTGGGAACCTCCCAGTAGGAAAACCAACCCGGAATTCAGACAAGAGAGTGAGTCCTTCATGGGATGGAAGTTATTCAGATTACTCTGGAGGTCACTTCCTATAAGATACTCATTGATTCTTCTCATCTCTACTGTTCTGGAAGGTCAGAGACCAGAAGCCGTGCCTAGTCCATCTTAGTATAGCCAGCACATGTAAGGTCACAGTCTGCCCGGTGTGTTGGTGCCTGCCAGTTCCAGTGGCACAGGATGCTAAAGTGGGAGGGTTGCTTGAATCCAGGAGTTCAGGGCCAGCCTGGCCAGCAAAGTAAGCTCCTTTTAAAACAGTCATCATCAGAATAAATTCTCTTTTCTCCCTTCTATCCTTTTGGAGACTACCAGCCATCTGATAGGTATTTTGTGTTCTTTTTAAGCAGGAACAAAGTTTATTCGAAAAAGTAAAAGTAAATTTTAAAATAAGTGAATAGTGAGAGAAAAACTGGCTCTGCAGAGTGAACTTGGGCCAAGTAAAAGAGGAAAAGGCAAGATAAAAAAAATACCCTGGAGAAAGCAGGGTGGGCTATCATGAGGAAAGCTACGCTAGCTGACAGTGTCTCTGTGTGTGAGCCCTTATGACGGGGGCCTCTTTAGCTCCAGCCCTTGCAGCACTGTTGCCCCCACTGCTCCTGTACTGTCTTAAACACCATGAACCCTGACTCCATGTTTAAGGTTCGCCAGCGTTCACCCTTCTAGGAAGCCTCCCTCTTTTCCCCTTTTGCCTAATCAGGAGCATTCCTTCATGGGAGCCTTGCCTACAACACAGTACAGCGTGCTATGCCCAAAGGTTAGCAGCTGACTTGTGCCCTGGGTGGTGTCTAGCATCCTTTTGTGCCCTTTGTCCAAATACCTCTAGGTAGCAATAAGAACCTGGGGAGCAGAGCCCCATGGAGTTAGTGGTGCACAGACTTCCTCATCAGGAGCCTGGGGCCCTGAGGCATCACTGAGCATCGGTAGGGGCCTGGAGGGCAGACTTGGACTCCTGCTCTGACCAGGCCTTTTTCTTACATACCTTAGGGAACAGAAGGCCAAGAGGAACAGCCAGTGGGTCCCCACACTGCCCAACAGTTCCCATCATCTGGATGCTGTGCCATGTTCCACCACCATCAATAGGAACCGCATGGGCCGGGACAAGAAGAGAACCTTTCCCCTGTGGTGAGTTCCGCTGCGCACTGGGCCTCACAGAGTCACCTCCATCCTCCACGGCTTTTATTTGTAGTCTCCTTCCTAAAGAAATGGTGTGACCTTCAGTTGTCCCAGATACTGTACCAGTGCTTTACTGTCCCTCGCTTTCCCTGGCCTCCCTGGCTCTCCCTGCTTTGATTTCTCACTTTTTTCTCCTCCTTTTCCCAGCACCTTAGCCAAGCAGCTGGGGGCACAGCCCATCTCAGGGTTTCACGTGCCATCCACCAGACTCCTACTGTGTCTGTTCCCTGTGGCTGCTGGGACAAACCACTGCAAAGTAGGTGGCTTAAAGGAGCACAGATCTGTTCTTTCGCAGTTGTTGAAACTGCTGCCCTCTCACCCTATGAGAACAAGCCTGATCCTTGCCTTTTCCAGTTCTGGCTGTTGTATTCCTTGGCTTGTGGTCCCATCGTTCTAGTCTCTGCCTCTGTCATCACATGGCCTCTCTTTCTGTGTTTCGAAATCTGTTTCTGGCTTAGGAGGACACTGAATCTGCTGCCATGGCGAATACCTTTCCCTTAGCTACTGCGGAAGCTGAGGCAGGACAAATACTAATTCAAGTCTAGCCCAGGAAACTTAGCAAGATTCTTTCTCAGAGTTAAAAATATAAATAGGGTTTGGGGATATAGCTCAGTGGTAGAACATTTGCCTAGCATGTGTGAGCCTCTAGAAAGAAAAAGAAAAAAAAAACACCCTGTGATGTAATTCATGGCCCAGTTGGACAGTCTCTCAGAATCCTCCTAAGTCACATCTGCATGGTCTCCTTTTTTGGGCCATATGAGGTAATGGTAGCAGGTTTATGGGATTAAGACATAAGCGTGTTCGGGGAGCATGTTCCAGGCTCCTGTACCCACACGTGTGTCTGAGGCCCAGCCTCCCCTAGCTGCTGCCCTCACACCCTGAGCCACATGCTGCCTGCACACGTTGCCATATCAAAGCTTGGCTTCCATCCTTCCCCTTGCTCAGGCCGAGAGCCTGGAACGCTTTCTCACTGCCTTCTTTTTTCTTGTGCCACAAGTCCAGTCTTAGCAGATTCCTACTTGCTCAGCCCTCCAAGTTCCTGGAATTGGGCCACCTTGGCCAGCTACCTGTTGGATCTCGTTAGGTGTTTGTGCCCAGTTCATCTCCCTTGTGTTCTGAGCTCTTCAGCCAGCATGGGCTTCTTTGCCCAGGCAGGTTGTGCAAACTCTTTGAAGAATCCTTGACTCTGTCACACGTGGAACACTGACCTCCCCTCACTATGGTCACACCATCAAGAGCTCCTCCCACACTTTACTCTGCTGGAGCTCACTCCCAACTTTGCAGGGCTCACCCTGTCTTCCCTCTGCTCCCTCTCTTTCCCTAGCTTTTCCTCTTTCATTCCTTCTTTCCCTCCATCCCTCTTTTATTCCTTATTTCTTCCTACCTTCTTCCTTTCCTCCTACCACCATCCCATCTCATTTTAGCTGTCACTTCCCTTTTTTTTAATAGCCTCTCCTTCCTCCAGCATTCCTGCCTCTTCCCAGAGGATCGCTCATGTCTGGCATGCTGAGCGTTTTCCTGGCTTTCCACCTTTTCTATTCCACAGATGCCTTAGGTTTCTTCTGCACCCTCTCCCCAGCCTGCCTGCTCCATCTCTGTCTCTTTATCTTCCTGAAATACAATACTCCGTTGCTCAGAATTTTGGGGCTTTCTCTGGGTAGGAGCCTGCTTCCAAACCCCAAGATGGAGAACTGCCAGCTCTTCAACATCCTTTGGCTTTGCAGAGTCCCTGGGACCTCTCCTCGCATGATCGCCACCTTCAGCAGTCTTTTGGCTGCTCCCTCTGCAGTTCTTCCATTCCCCTGCCTCCTGGTGTTTGCGTGACTATTCCTCTTCTGTAAATGCTTTTCCTTTCCCAGTTTTCAATGACAGTCATGCCTACTTTGGCCTTGAATCTTCCACTGAAGTATGCCTAGGTCTTGTTCTGCCTAGGCCCCCAGTTTCTGTTGCTTCCCTGTGTGTCCATGAAGCATGCAGTTCTGCTCTGTTGTATATAGCATGTGCTGTGGATATGCTGGTGCTTGTCATTTATGACCCCTACTACCCAGGTTAGACTGTGGCTTTGTGACCTCATCTGATCTCAACTGTGTGGCATCAGTGGTAGATGCTAAGTCCCTCTAGGATATGCCCTTTCCCCTTGAGACACATTTGTAATGACCTGAGACACAGAAGGAAGCTGAAAACTCATATCCCATAGGCACTAGACAAAGGGACTGGCATGTCTTGGCTGACTGCTGTTATTTCAATGGCTGACTGCCATTGCTATTTCATTTCAGCTTTGATGACCATGATCCAGCTGTGATTCATGAGAATGCATCTCAGCCTGAGGTGCTGGTGCCCATCCGGCTGGACATGGAGATCGATGGGCAGAAGCTGCGGGATGCCTTTACCTGGAACATGAATGGTATGTAGATGCTTGCTTTCAGCTAGGCTTTATATGCAGATAGCTTCTTTTCTTCTAGCCGTCTGTCAGACAGCTCTGGATGTGACATTCAAGTTATAGTAGCATGATTCTTAAGGTATGGACTTCAGGTTTTTCCTGGTTCTGCTGCTGTTCCCTGTTCCTTGTGGCGCGGGCAGATCTTAGTCCATTTTCCGTTGTTCTAACATAATATCTGAGAACGGTAATTTATGAAGAAAAACAGTTCATTTTGGCTTTCTGTTCTGGAGGCTGGAACGTCCATGATCAGGTGGCCACATCTGATCAGTTTCTGGTGAGGACGTTATGTTGCTTCAACTCATGGCAGTACATATAAGGATGCATGAAAGGGATGAAACAAGGAGTGGAGCTTGCTCTCATAGTAACTAAACTAGTCCTAGTTTTGCACAGAGAGGGAGAACTCACATGAGAAATTCATTCATTCATTCCTTCATGGGAACTCAACCCCATGAGCCAGGCACCTCGCAGTAGGCCCCACCTCCCAACCCTACTGTACTGGGGGCCAAACCTCAGCGTAAATTTTTGTGGGGACAAACCGTAGCAGCTGGAGAGCTCCAGGTTTCCTCTTGCCCGGGTGAAGCTGGGTGGTTCAAGAAGCTGGGCATGGCAGTCTGCTGGTCTGTGTAGTTATGACTGAAGGCGCTTCTCAGCCCTGGTTCAGCTGCCTGGCCCATCCATACCTCCCCTTCAGCTGTGCCCACCACCTTGCTCCTTCAGGAGGTGCCTAAGAACAGGACTTGTGTGCCTAAGTCCTGGGCAGATGCCCGCTCTTCAAGCCTTCTGCTGTCTCAACTTTCTCAGTGCAGATGTGGAGAGAAAGCTTAGAAGACTACATGCCCCAGAGCATTTACAGTGCTGCTCCAGTCTGAGGAGGATTTTGTATGTGTTTTTCTTTTTCTTTCTTTTTTTTTGGAAAGGTGTTCAGTGGTGAGTGTTATATTGCACATTGCTGTCAATGCAGTTGCTCAGATTATTTTCTTTATTTTTTTCCTAAATCTTCAGACTTGTTTTTCTCGTATGATGCTGGGGCTTATTACCAGGACTTCAAGTGTGCGAGGTGAGTGCTCCTCACCTGAGATGTGCTCCAGTCTGTCAGGGTTTTTATCACAATCATACTTATATTCAAACAAAAAAGATGAATAGTATTTTTTAAATCACCAGAATCTCTTAATATTTTCAGTGTTGTCTTTTCTCATTTAGTCATTTTCATATGCAAACATTAATATAGTTGTAATTACAGAGTAAGTTTTAGAGTTTGGGTTTTTTTTAATCCCACTTTACAGGTATCTTCCTCATTTTGTTAGCCTTCATCATTGTAGCGTTTTCTGTTGCTTCATGCCTTACTTTGCTAAAACTCTTGTTAAAACTTGACAGCAGATAATGTATTACTTGTGATATTTTTCTCCCAGAAGGTCTAAGAGATGTCTAAAGGGTGTGGCAGGAGAGGTTCCAGTAGGTTTTTTGCAAGCTTGAGACTATCCTGGGCTGTAATGTCAGCTCAAGGCCAGCCTCAACTACATAGTCAAACCCTGACTCAAAAAGAAAAGAGGCCACTTCTTTGGTTCATACTTAGTTTATAGTAGGCGTGCGTTGCTGGAAGGTGGTCATGTCTCAGCTTTTTTGAACGAGGTGCAGATGGTTGATGGTTGGTTTTACAGTTCAAAGTGTGGTCAATAATTGTATTAGAGACTGGGCGTGGTGGCACAGACCTGTAATCCCAGCTCTTGGGAGGCTCTAGACAGGTGGATCACTATGAGTTTGATCTAGTAGTGAGACCCTGAACACCCTGTAGACCCTTCCCTAAAAAAAAAAAAAAAAAAAAATCTGAGACTAAATCTGAGACAGCCTTTCCCCATGGCCCTCATGAAGAGAACAAGGTATGACATAATGAAGACCAGCATCCATCCTTGCCTCCACTGTGAGTTCCAATTTCTGAGTTTCCTCATAGGAATCCTAATGTAAAATACAATCTCCAGCCAGGAATGGTGGTGTATGCTTTCTGGGGAGGCTGAGGCATGAGGATTGCCATGAGTTTGAGGCCAGCCTGGACTACATAGTGAGAGCCTATCTCAAAAAAAAAAGTGATCTCTACTCAATGTAATTTACTGGAAATATGTAGGGAAAAAAAAAACAAAACCAAAAAACCCCAAACCTGTCCTCTGCAAATTCTTCCTTAACCTTCACTGGTGAAAAATGGCAAAATAACCAGGCATGGTGGCACACCCCTATTGTAGTTCCAACACTCAGGAGGCTGAGGTGGGAGGATCGCCTCAAGTTCAAGGCCAGCCCGAAATATACAGTAAGACCCTGTCTCAAAAGACAAAATAGGGCAAAGGATGTGGCTGAGTGATAGAGCACTTGCCTAGCATGTGTTAGCCCCTGAGTTCAATCCATAGTGCTGCAAAACCACCCACAATTGATCTGCTATGTTTTTAGTCACATTTGGTTATTTAGACAGTAGGAAGCAAAAACAACTGAAAGGAGAAATGAACAAATCTACAATTACATTAGAGACTTCAGCATCCTTCTCATAGCACCTCTTAAAACTAGAAAGAAAATCACGAAGATGGTTAAAAAAATTGAAAACAAAAACAACCAACAGAATCTGATTAGCATTTATAGAGCACTTCAGCACAGCTGAGTGTGCATTCCTTTCAGTGCCCATGGAAGTATACCATATAAACCATATGTCATAAAACAACCTCAACAAACTGAAGAAAATTGAAGCCAGACAATGTGTTTTCTAATCGCAATAGACTCAAATACTTGCAAACTAAACAAAGATACTTTATAATTCATGGTTCAAGGAGGGAGTCTAAAGGGAAATTTAAAAACATACAAGGACCTGAGTGAACGTTCTCAAAATGTGTGGAATACAGCTAAAATAATGTCATAAAGATCACGTATAGCATTAGAAAATGTGAAAAGCTTCAAATCAAGTCTTAAGTTCTCAACTCAGGAACAAAATGAAACCAAAACAAGAAGGAGTACATAGTAGAAGAGCAGAAGCAATGAAATTACAAGGAAAGCTAACAGAAAATGAAGGAAACATAGCTGGTACTTTGGAAGATCAATAAAGTTGACAGCTTCTAGCAGGACTGACAAAAACATGTGACTACAAATGGCAGGTATCAAAAGGAGCAGAGTATTACAAACAGCCCTACACACACAAATTCGACAGTTTGCACAAAGTGATCATTTTTTACAAATGTCTTATTTCACTCTAAATCAAGTCAGATACATAACTGGAATTGCTCCACAGCTTTTTTTGCAGGGGATGGGAGTGCAATGCTAAGGATCAGACGTGGCCTGTTGTGTGGTAGGCAAACGTTCTACTATATTCCCGCCCCTGCTTGATACTATTAGGTAAATAGGGTGTGTAATTCAAAATCTCTCAAAAAAAGCTGGGTGAGGTAGCACATGCCTATAATCCCAGCACTCTGGGAGCCTAAAGCAGAAAAATCACACGTTTGAGTTCACTGTGGAACCTAGTGACTCAATGAGATCCTATCTCAATATAAAAGGTTTTTTTTTTGTTTTGTTTTGTTTTGTTTTTGTGGAACCAGGGATTGAACTCAGACCCTTGCGCTTGCCAGGGAAGCGCTTATTCCACTGAGCCATCTCCCCAGCAAAGTTTTGGGTTTTTTTGTTTTTTTTTTTTTTTAAGGGCCAGGAGTGTGGCTCAGTAGGAAGGCCCTGGGTTCAATCGCCAGTATCTCATCCCCCTAAATATATAATTTAGTTGGCAGTTTCTGGAGGTTCAAAAGCATAGACCCTGCCTGCTCATCTGTGATGCCCACATCACAATGGCTGGCATAGTGGCAAAAGTGCTTGCAAAAGAGAACACATGGCAACACAGGAAGCCAGAGACCAGGGAGAGGCCTGTATTACTCTTATATAACAACTTGCTGCCGAGAGAACTAATTCACTCAGATTAACATTGATTCCTTATTGAGCCAAACATCTTCCACTAGGCCCTAGATTGAACTGAGGACCCTGCACATGCTTGGTAAGTGCACCACCACTGCACTACTATCCAGGCCTCCCAGGCTGGACTTGACTTGTGACTTGATCCTTTTGCCTCAATACTCCTGGAATTCAAACATATGGGATTAGTAGGCCCCATCTCTCTTTTTTTAAATTAGGAAGTGAAACCAGGGATTCATTCATATTGGGCAAATGCTCTACCACTGTGCTATTACATCTCAGCCTT